TCAAATTTTATCGCTGACGTATAAGACCGTCAACAAAACTTCCCCATGCTATCTTCAAAATCTACTCTCATTATACAAGCCTAAACGTTCATTAATATCTGGAGGCAAAATGTTACTTGAGGTTCCTTCATACAACCTGACAAAAATTGGCTCCAGAACGTTTCAATACAGTGCATCAGTAATTTGGAATAAATTACCAAAATCAATTCGACAATGTGAATCTGTGTCTGCATTTAAATGTAAAGTGAAAACTTGGTTGTTTAGTTACTATCATTAACTCACCAATGGGGTCACTGGAGTGCGCCTTGAGAAATTCCACGAGGATTTAATTGCTGCGCAATATAAATATCGTCATTATTATTTTTATTATGACCTGTATACAAGAGATTGATGCCCCCTATACACGAGTGATGCCTCCTATACATGGGTTATGCTCCCTATACATGGGTATATATGCTAAAGATCCTAGACAGTTTAAATTAGGTTTCATGTGTTTTCCAAGTCCCTGGGGTCAAATTAGCGCCCAATCCACCCGGTGCAGACTAAGGCTTCCTTTTCTGTCTTTTCATTTGTATCTACGTCTGCCTCAAGAGTGTATAGAGAATCTCGTTTACTCTTAATCAGAGGTGATCAGTAAAGTACTATAGAACGATGATTACCTATCATTGAACGTGTCTTCAGGAGGGAATTACCATATAAATTCGGTTTCTTGGATATACGTACCATTCGACCGGATGAAAACTCAAAATGTAAGATTCACAAAACGGTTTAATCAAGTCGAAATACATACATATTTGATGATATTGTGAGCAATTTCCCCCCTCATGGTCAGACGCGATCACTCGGGTCATCGGCTTGTCTCGACTGATCGCGTTACCACGTAATCACGTGACCCAAGCGCACGAGCAGTGTTACACAGTTTAATCTTGACAATTAAAGAGACCCATTACTGAATATTTATCTTCATTATCGTAAACAAGGATAAACCCATACACTTGGACTTCATGCAGACGTATGGAATGCATTACGGCTGCGTTTTTATGTCTTTTTCCTCTGTTATCTATGTCTGTCTCAAGGGTATGTAGACAACCTCGGTTACTCTCAATCAGAGGTGATTAGTGAAATACTATAGAACGATGATTACTTATCATTGAACGTGTCTTAAGAAGGGAGATTACCTATTTAAGATAATCAGAGGAAGATTATCAAGTAGTGATTGGATATCATTTATCACTTGTAGGCACGTGTCTTAGTATTATTATGCATGTAGCCAGACTTCTTTAATATGTAAACCAATGAGATTTGCTGTGGACATGTCAATCTTTAATTTGCAACCAATGACAT